AAACGCTTTGTATGAAGTTATAAAAGTGTCACTCAATCAACACTTCAGTGGTGTGTAGTGCAGACACGAGTATATAAGTGTGTGTGTTTGCCTGCGACACTTTCAATAAGTGCTCGCATCCTTTTTATGGGCCCCGTGTGCATACAATGCGTAGACTTTGTGCGTTTTACCGTGAAAAATATGCTCACTCTTGCTTGACTACCCATATGTTAAAACAGCCGCACGCAGGGAGCAAAGGCCCTCTCAAGCGCCTACACTTTATTAATATGTACTCGTTTGTGTTCACATGTGCTTAGGCGCACTTTGTATTTGGTATATTGGTATGTAAAGGTGAGACAGACACAGCATTGCTACTATTATTATGTGCTAATTATTGTCTGCTCTTTATTTCAAGGACGTTTTGACTAATAAATTAACTGTGTGTGAAGGAAATTAAATGTCAGTGCATGTATTTGTGCGTCTGTGATACGTAAATGCCTGCAATAAGCAGCTTGGTATGCAAAGCGCGTTGGAATTTATGCAGCTGCAAGTGATGAGAAATGGCGTCTTGGATATGCACAGTGGTGGACAGAATATTAGAATAGCCATGTAAACATTTTCTAAGATATATTATGTTGAGTAAAAGGTCTCAGAATATCACATAGTAATTTTCCAATACTGCAAATATAAGATAAAGTATACTGCTTAACTCAAAATATTTGTCTTTTCAACTTTCTTAGAAGTAGGAGCCGAAAACACTACCAGTGCCTCTATTCAAAAAACAAAGCCCAACCATTTTATTCTACCAATAACAGTTCTAGGGTGCCTTTCCTTGCTAGTTCATCAGCTATGCAATTTCCCGCGATTCCGCACCCATACCAGTAGATCTGCTGCTTTTTTAATGGCTGCAAAATCGACATGTTCACCAAACTTTACCGGCAGCCAAGTTTTTTAAGTAAGTCCTTAAGTGGGTGGTATTCCCTTAGTAATATTTCGTCATGCGCATACGTTGCTCCATTCCGTATCAATCAGTCTGTCGCAAAGAAAACTGAGAAATAGATACAAGACCGTCCCGTCCAGTGTAGTAATGACTGCTTTCGGCAGGACCTTATTGAAAGCTCCCTCAATATCAAGGAAGAGCCTCACAGCGTATTCCTTAACCCTAATGGCTTCCTCCGACGATGAGTAGAGGTCGTACAAGGGGATACTTAACAACGTCGTTGGTTTATGAATATGAAAACGAAAGTAAAGCTCACAAATAAGACGATATCGAAAAAACCAAAATTCGTTAAAGGCACTGAATTATGTCTTATGATAAGAGTATGGAAAACTGGAATAAACTTGTGAAACACAACACAGAAGTCGACTAATTCATTAAGAGGTCGCATTCGTTTACGGGTTTCAAAAAAAACGATTTTTTTATATTGTCTTATTAAATTCTCAAACATCTCTAAAATATTGTCCTAAATTTTCATGTTGATCGGAGTAATAGTTCGGCGAAACTCTGTTTTTGAAGTCGGCTGGCAAAATTTCTCTAGAACTACTCAATCGATCTTCATGAAATTTTACACAGGTACAATTCTTAAATACTTGGATGAAGGATTTTTTTTTTATACTCTCGAAACAAAGTTGCTAAAGAGAATATTATGGTTTTGTTCACATAACGGTTGTTTGTAAGTCCTAAAACTAAAAGAGTCAGATATAGGGTTATATACACCAACGTGATCAACGTGACGAGTAGAGTTGAAATCCGGATGTCTGNATTTAAAATTAAAAACAGAGAAAATGTTTTTTAATTGAAAATTGCGTACCAAATAAATAAATATTTTATAGACTGGAAGAAAATGGGATAAAAAATCAAAAATTTACATATTTCTAACTGAAATATTATAAATAAAAGCATTTAAATAAAGCTAATTCAACAATTTCCAAACTTTTTTGTTATTTTAATAAAAATAATCTTCACTATTCAAAAGATAATCAAAGTGGTCCCACACAATTTGCATTTTAATACGATTAATTGTGCTTCGTTATTTAGGATAAAAAATTGTTTTTAATTATTTAATTTTGTATTAACAATTGGAAAATTATGATTATTTAAGATTTTTGAGATCACAAAATTATTAAAAAATTTAATTGAAATGTTCATTCAATTTTATTTATGTACATATATTTTTAATGATTTATCTGGTTGTCTCTCTCAAAATTTGTCATATTTTTTCGTTTTTTGCTAAGACATTGCTTTTATTATTTATTCATTTATTTAGTTTTTTTTTTTTGCGTTAATTATAATTATATTGAAAACATATTGAGGGCTATTTGAATAATTTTATTTTTTTTTTTATTAATAAGTTTTTTATTAAATTTTTAATTAACTATTTTAAATTATTTTCATCTTTTGCCTATCTCTCACTGATATTCTTTCAATTTGCTTATGCACCTATGTACTACATATGTGTGTCGGTATTCATGTGCAATGGCAAGTGTGTATATACATAAATACATACATACAAGCATACATAAATTCATTTCACTGCATAGAAATATTTCACACATACAATCACAATAAAAACACTACAAACGCTTACCAATAAACTCATATTGTGAGGTTAGAGCGCATTGTACGCGTAAGCACCCTCAATTGCCGGTGACTGCATCCGCCGGATGCATTAAAAACAACTCACACAATTATGTTAATACAAAAATAACAACATCGCTTATTAACACAAACACTCACTATTTTACTATATAAACTTAAGTTTTTTAACATTAAAAGTCCAAAAAAAACTATTTTACTCGCAACCATAGCACGACTTGCAATTTCACTGTAGCGTAACTAGTTTTGAACGAAACTCGAATTACACAACATTTAAAACACGCGCACAAATGCATAAATACTAGAAATATTACAAAATATACGCAAAACTCCGCACAAAACACTTTTAAACAAATTTTTCGCATAGCGTCACTTTTACGAGCAAATTTTTATAATTTCCATATCCGCGCGAACCGATTTACAACAGCTGTTTAGCACAACCGGTAAATACCAACGGAGCAAACTGACAAGTAGGTGTCGCGTCTGTACTATTTGGTAAACAACAGCTGACTTTTATTGTTGTCTAATTGGCGATGAATAATCCATTGTCTTCAAGATAATACAGATTTATCAAATAATCGTTTTAAAACCAATTAGAAAATAGTTTAAAAATATTATATATGTATATCTAGTATAAAAAATGTCTTGCTTTGGATGCGGTAAGAAGTATGGACTTTTCACAAAAGAGGTACTTATCAATTGCAACAAAATCAATGAAAATTTTCATGCTGCACTATTTTCATCAATCAATTTCAGCACGGTTGTCCCAGTTGTGGCTACTCCTACTGCATTAAATGCTTGAAGCGGCCTATGCCCGTACCACGACATGGTGGTAAAGTGTTGAATGTGTGCTTAATATGTTACGATAAACTTTCCAAGTTGCAAGCGTCGGAAAAGGTCATTGATATCGAAGCATTGCCTGGCGTTTTGGTGACAAAGTCAAAGGGCAATAACAGCACTGATCCACTCGTGGCAGCAGCTGCAGCGTTGTTGGAGTATAAAAAAATGTATTTATTTCTGAATATTTATTATTATTGTATAATTTAATTTTTTTAGAGATGATCCACCACCTGACTTGGGTGAAGTGTTGGCTCCTGTTTCAACTGCTACAGCGACGAGTGCTGATGCTACACATTCCACTGCAGAAAATGCGGAAATCGAAGAAAATTTGGATTCTGTAATTTCAAAACGTCTAAAAGATTTAAAAACTATTGAAAATCCTTCAACGGATGAGGAGATACGCGCAAGACTCGCTATCCTAAATGGCATGCCACAAAAAGATTACTCCAAGAAAGATCTATTGCTCTCCACAGACGAGCGTACAGATCAGCAGAAGATGCAAGATCTACTTGAACAATTTATGGGTGAAGCGCAAATCGATCGTCAAGTAGCGGACGTACGCAATGACGCGATTTCGGATATTGAGCGACGCTTGCGAGCGCTAAGAGAGCAGCCAGTAGATGGCGTGGGTGCATTACAAAAAGAGCACTCGCCAGACAACAACACACCTAGTGATAATGAAGATGATGAAACTGTCCTCAAGGCCGTTATGACAAAGGTAAAGATGCACATGTATTATAAAATATTAAAATTCAATATTTTTTTCGTAGTATTTGGCAGAAGCACATTTGCCCTCTGAACTCGAAACAGAGCTGGCGGCTGGTGTGCCGCCACCACCAGCAGGCACACGTCCCGCCGATTTGGAGGAGCTGCCCTGGTGTAACATCTGCAACGAAGATGCGGTGTTTCGTTGTAAAGGTTGCGATGGTGAACTCTTTTGTGCGCAATGCTATCGCGAGTGCCATGACGATGATGAAGAGTATCGTGCGCATGAGAAGGTGTCCTATTCTGCACCACCAAAATTTAAAGAAAATCACTTTTAGCAAAAAACAACTGTGCAATGCTAACGGAACTCAACCAAAAACTCGTTTTATCTTTGTTTTTGTGTATTCGTACATTTTATTGATACAGACATGTAACACTTACATATTTATTTCTATTATTCTGTAAGCTGAATTTTAAAACAATGGGAAGTGAAAAAATCAAAAGCACGTATAAAACTTCTAAACGATGAATGATTTTGCTATAATTACTTTATAATAGCTTAGCTTATTGCATAAATATATTTTAAAGATATGATTTGAACAGTTGTATATGCTTTGAAAACAACAAACAATTACATCTATTAAACTTTAACTGTAAAATTATTGATATCAATTTTCAATTTTCACCAAAGCAAAATCTAAGTAGTTTAACAAATTTCAATGGTTTTCGAGTTTTACGTACCCTGTTATAGGATAAAAATATATATATACATATATGTATGTATATCAATTTGTAAGCTAATTTTTCTCTATGTAAATTTTTCTTGTAAACTCTTCAGGCTGCTAATTTACATCTACATATTAACCTAGTTTTTAGTTGATCTTTGATTTTCGCCACCTGTGACGAAACTGCGATCTCTCACAGTTAGTTGATAAGTTTGCATGGCAACACATACTTACAGTTTTAGATCGCTTTGCATTCGAATATTGTTATACAACTTGTATGTATACGATAATTTTTGCTTCGCCAGATATTGCACAAAACCTATAAGCTGGCAAATGAAAAAAGTGCGTCATTAAATGCGCAATTTCTCTAGGAATTTAGGCACTAAATGTTGCGCTGAGTAGCGATCGAATGTAAAATATTCAAAAAATGTGTCTCTCTGACGCCGAAACAATTCCGGATTGCGACACCAATTGTAGAGCATTTTAATCAGCTGATTGGAAGTGTTGTAGAGATTCTCTTTGGGGTATATTTCCGGGTAAACGAGTTTATTCGGCGCTATCGGCATACAGCCGCAGTACGTTGCTTCAAGCCTGTAATAAATTTCATGAAATGAAAATTTCACTTATTTATATATTTATAAGTATTAATAGCACTTACATAGCTACACCGTAGAATTCATGTCCCGCCGTCGAGATTACAACATCACCGGACAGTAAAGTTTTTATGTACTTATCACGCGGCAAGAAACCGAAATTTATTAGCTTGGCACCCAACTTATCTTGTAAGCCGTCGAAGGACTCTGGTGCTGCCTGATAATTTTCGCCACATATTGTCACTTTAAAGTCCACTTGACGCTTGTTCAACTCCAAAAGTACCTCCACCAACAACTTTGGATTTTTATCGTGCTCCCAGCGATGTGGCCAGATCAGATGCAAACAGTCTTTGTCACTCATCAGTGTGGTTAGAGATGGTTCCGCACCACCAATCATCAGTCGTTTATTGGGGAAGGCGTGGAATTTAATAGGATAGTAGAGAACTTCACATTTTTTCTCAATTTTATCGCGTATGTGTTTCAATTTAAAATCGGGTTGTATGTTGAGAAAAGGTGTAATGCTGTCCAGGAATGATGTGCGGTTGAAATTCGAATTGAATATTATATTGTCGGCAGAAAGGCTATGGAGAAGAGCAGTATTAATGCTACGAAAAATAAAAATATTTAGAGGACGCACCATGTTAGTATTTGGTTCAAACCATATTGACAGTCGCGCTCCTTCACCTCACGCACTGGATAGACTAATTGATTTTCGTGAAAATAAACAATCTTTTTACAACTAACCAAATCTGGACGTACACCTAACAGCTCCGCCAAGTTCAGCACTGAGCTGGTAAAAAGCACTTTGTATTCATGATCCACCGGTATGATTTGTGAGAAGTATAAGGCGCCTGTACGCGCACGCCAATGCCATTTCTTTGCGGGAAGACTAAATATTTCATAGTCACAGATGTTTAAGCCTATTAAATTATAGAAACGAATATGTGAAATGTGCAGCGGAAGTGGAAATAGTGCAACCGGCACTGTGCTATTCACTACTCACACTCGATGATTGTATCGATCAGCTGCTTGTGGCTACCTCCATAAAACGGTTCTATGATTAATATTGATGGCTTTGACATGGCAGCGTACTAAAATAGTTAAATTTTTAATTAAACTTTCGCCACATAAACGTAAAATATGTTTTATTTTGAAGAGATATAAAATTTGTGTGTACCTCATCTGTTTGCGGAGGAACACAAAATCACTTGTCATGGTATGTGTGGTATTGAGGGTTGAATAAATTAGTAGTGCTGTCCACATTAATTGAGATCGTAGCAAACAATTCGAAAAATAACTTTTAACAATAAATATAATTTAAAAAAATGTTGAAAAATTAATAGTGACTGCAATAACTTAATATAATTTCAGAAAATAGTTTAATTTAACTTTAATTTCAATAACAATACGGCAACAACCGTTAAAAATTGCAAATCTATTTGACATTTCTGACATTAGCTTTATCATAACCCAAAAACCTCGCTCGCTGCGAAACTTTGTGTCTTCCTGTCGAGAATTTCACAAAAAGTCATAGCGTACAGTAAAATAATAACTATCAACATGTCCACCAACAATACAGTTATTTCGGTTACAGATGCTGAACAGTACAACACACTGATCAAGTAAGTAATGTTTGTCAATATATATGATAGACACTAACAAATTGCTTTGTTATACACAAGTGCGGAGAAGACTACAGTAGTGCTATTTACAGCCGATTGGGCTGAACAGTGTAAACATGTCCAGGAAGCGCTGGAGGAGCTAGCCAAAATGCTGAGTAACAAATTGCAGTTTGTTAGTCTCTTAGCCGAAAAATTTCCAGAGATTTCCATGAAGCACCAGGTACTTCAGATTAATATATATATATGCTATAAGAAAAACACTTCAAAATAAATATACGTACTTCTTAGATCGAAGCTGTTCCCACCATAATTTTCTTCACCAAAGGCACGGCAGTGGATCGTGTAGATGGTGTGAACGTAGCCGAAATTACAGCGAAGTGTAAAAAACTTGGTGGCTCCGTAGCCGGTGAATCTTTGGAGGAACGTTTGAAAGCACTCATCAATAAAGCGGATCTTATGATATTCATGAAGGGCGATCGCAATGCTCCACGCTGTGGTTTCTCCCGCCAGATAATTGAAATCGTGAATGCAACAAAGTTTGTAGAATTAAGTCTTTAAAAATTTACAAGTGCTGATAAAAAATTATTTTTTTAGTATTCCCTATGAGACATTCGATATATTGAATGATGAAGAAGTTCGTCAAGGTTTAAAGACATATTCCGACTGGCCCACGTATCCGCAAGTGTATGTTAAGGGTGAACTAATTGGTGGCTTGGACATTATTAAAGAGCTCAAAGCAAATAATGAATTAGAAACAGCACTGAAGGGTTAAAGTAAATAATATCATGACTCAGTACATGCAAAAATTTAATTTATAAATAAAATTGGCAACCGGTTTTGGTAACAGGTAAAAATGTTGTTATAACTTTAAAATTACAAATAAAATGCTGCCAACAAAAATTTGACTTGTATAAAAAGAAAGCAACGACAAATTTTATTAATTAAAGTCWTATATGTATGTATGTATGAAACATATTTTAATTTCGTAGTTACTCATATAAAACATTATGCTTAATGAATATTGATCATTTTCAATATTTGTGTACTAATGTAATTTCAATTGTTGCTACTTTTGTTCAATATTTTAATTATTCCAATACAAATTGTTAGAATATAGTGAAGGCTGTGTGGCGATTGGCAGTAATATAATCCAACCAACAAAACCAATAATGTAGCATAAAATAAGTATAATACGACGTACTATATGTTGTTGCCACAGCTCTTGGACATCAGGCAAGCCCATATGATTACAAAATGCATGCACAAGGAATGGTGCGACAAAATGACCGGTGCGCGCAAAGAGAAATGCGGAGTAGAAACCAAAGACTGTGGTGTAAGTTAACTGAAAGCCTGGCAAGAAAAGATTTTATATATTTAATAAAAAATAAGGATTTGGATGTACATATTTGTGCGACTCACATGATATCACTAAGGCAGTTTTCAATTCCATACCCAAACTGAGGCGTTCGCCAATATGGTGTATGTGCGCAGTGCCAAAGAAAAGCGGTGTAATGAACACAGCTGTCAAGGGTGAAAAACTCTGCAGAATTAATGGCATCATACAAGCGCGGAAAACGAATTCTTCACTGATTGGCGCCATAACATGGTTGCGTATCCAGAGTATATTTTTAAATGAACCAATCCAAAACTCAGTATCTATAGAATCATACACGAAAAAACCTTTTTAATAAGAATGTCATTCCAACAAACTACACTGCATACCCATAAATATTTTTAAAGACTCATTTTGCATCTGTACGCACAGTGGACCCAAAAATAAAAGCATTGTCAGCAAATACGGTATTGTAATGGCCAGAAATAGTCCCTGCCATCTCAAACCCAATATTTCTGCAAATGTGGCGCGCTCCAGTAGCTCTCTTGAAGAAAATTTATATACGAAAAATGGCGCTATCAGCATAACGATGATAACGCTGACAAAACGTCGCTTAACCGTCGACGGGTGATCCCGATTATGTTTGGTATTCCAAACATATAAACTGGCTACATATATGACGGAAAGTATGAGACAGCAACCGACTGATGTCACTATCGGTATATGCGGTAAAGGGAGAGGTGTATCCGCAGTCCCTTGGCTGCTATTACTTTCGAAACTATCGTTCATGACATTAACTTAGGTTTAGTATTGGCCGCGTTAATTCCTGAGTTGTTTAACGTGTATTGTATTATATATAAAACTTAAATAATCACTTTTCTACAGATGTCCAAAGTTTGCAAAAAAAAAAAAACAAATACAACTAGTACAGCTGTTCGCGATAAGTGAAGCTGCCATATTTTCTCAGTTAGATATACATATCTCTACTCATGGACCATATTTCATAATTATCCATATATCCTTAAAATAAGGTATGGTAAATGTTCAGGAGAGCGACTTTTCTGAAAACGTAATGAAAAACGTATATTAACAACAATAAAATTCATTTATTTAAAAAGAAAAAAAATGCTTAGAATTTGTTCTTAAAGAAATACTTTTGTAATTAGTGCTATCAAAATACTTCTCTGCATCAGCTGTTAAGATTGAGGCTCTCTTCTCTCACTTTTACTAAAAATATAAACATTTGATAACAAATACCTACTCTATCTTTTAAATAAGCATTAATTGAAAAAGTTCAAAGTACTACTGTCTACTTAACTTTTCACTAAACTTTTAAATTTAATTATAGACTATTTAGTGAATTTTCACTAAATTATTTTAATTTCTTAACGTAAACATATTCATATAACAAAATGCTGCCTCTTTTACGTGCTGCTGCCGGCTTCACTCCCGCCATGCGGATGCTTCAAAAGGTTAAGTTGTGCTGATAGCCACATAATCGGTGACAAAGCTTATATTTATCAATTAAAAGATTATATGAATATTTTAGACAACACGTCTGCAGCAAGTGCGTAATTTAAATTTGCTCGAGTGCAACAGCAAGGAACTGCTGCAAAAATATGGTGTCGCTATACAAGAGTTCAAAGTATTGGAAAATGCACCCAACGATGCGCAGTTAATAAACGAGTTTGGTGAGCATATAATTGTTTGCTTAGTTTAAATAAGCTTATTCGCGTGACACTTTTGTTATATATAACTACAGATTGCCCGGAGTATGTCGTTAAGGCACAGATACTGGCAGGCGGTCGCGGTAAGGGTGTTTTCGATAATGGATTCAAAGGAGGCGTACATCTCACAAAGAAGTCAGTATTATACTCTAAAATAAATATGTATATAGTATTTATAAGGGTTATTTCTTACACTCTCAGGAAGGATGAAGTTCTCTCGCTTACCAATCAAATGATTGGCCATCGTCTCATCACCAAGCAAACACCAAAATCAGGAATATTGGTTAAAAAGGTAATGGTGGCACGCAGCGTAAATATCACACGTGAAACATATCTATCAATTGTGTTGGATCGAGAGCACAATGGACCAGTACTTATTGCCTCGCCTGCTGGTGGTATGGATATCGAAGCGGTCGCCGAAAAAACACCAGAGAAAATCAAGACTGTACCCTTAGATCTAGACAAACCAATACCACAGAACACACTCATCGAAATCGCGAAATTCCTCGAGTTCAAAGGACAATGCGTAGAACGCGCTGCTAGTGAAATACAAAAACTCTTCGACCTCTTTAAAGCCGTCGATGCCACACAAATTGAGATCAACCCCTTAGCTGAAACGGATACTAACGAAGTAATCGCCGTTGATGCTAAATTAAATTTTGATGACAACGCCGAGTATCGGCAAAAAGATATTTTTGCTATGCACACTGCCGAAGAGGACACAGATCCACGTGAAGTAGAAGCAGCCAAAAATAATCTCAATTATGTAGCTATGGATGGAAATATTGGTTGTCTGGTGAATGGCGCTGGTCTCGCCATGGCCACAATGGATATAATTAAGTTGAATGGCGGTGAGCCAGCGAATTTCCTCGATGTGGGCGGTGGCGTCAAGGAGAGTCAAGTTTTGAAAGCCTTCCAAATAGTCACATCCGATACCAAAGTAAAAGCTATACTTGTGAATGTCTTTGGTGGTATTGTGAATTGTGCCACCATTGCTAATGGTGTTGTTGCTGCTTCCAAAACCCTTGATCTGAAAGTACCGCTCATTGTGCGTTTGGAAGGTACAAATGTGGATGAGGCCAGAAAAATTCTAAAAGATTCTGGGCTGGCTATACAAACAGCGGTGGATTTGGATGACGCAGCGCATAAAGCTGTGGCGGCATTACATTGAAGTTCCTAGGAGCAGTTCGCTTAACTTTGGTTGACTGTAAATTTCGCATTTTAATACAACATTTCTAAAGTCTTGAAGCTAATTTCTCAGACAGGCATTTCTCCACCAACAACAACAAAGTCGAATGGTCACAGTTTGTTTTCATTATACATATGTATGTATGTATATAGAATGTTTGTGGTAGTTTTCAAATTGAATGTTACTAGGAAATTGTTAATAAATAGAGATATAAAAATGAATGTTTTAATGTTGCAAAAGTGATTAAAAAGAATTTTGACAAGTAAAACTCTTCTCTGCATCAGCTGTTAAGAAAATTTTTTAATGTTGTAAAAGTAATTAAAATGAAATCGGACAAATAAAAATATTTTTCACATTGGAAGCATAAATATGTTTAACATAGCGCTTAATGGCGTGGTTTATTTGTTGTAGTAATTCAAAAATTATCTAGAACAAAATTTCCCCTAATGCCGCGTGAGCTTTGATATTCGGAGAGCTTAAAGCGTTTACGCTTCGGAAAACCTCTTTTCCTACGTTTTTAATTTATAGCAAAAAAAATGCTTTGGCCGACATCTATCGCCATTTGCCGCGCTGTTAATGCAACTGTCTGTTAAAAGTTCCCTGTTATTTAAGGACATTTCTCAAGTGGAGAATTCTTATTAAAGGTAATTTTTATTATTTTTGGTACATGTCCGTTTGTATTATAACCACTTTTCAAAAATATTTCCCTAAATAAAATTTTATAGTGTGCTTTATTCATAAGCTCATAATATCCTGAGCTTTCAAAATTTTATATCGAAGAAAAGCTTCTATCCTGCTTCACATATGTACATATTTATATAAATACATACATAGAAACTGCATTACTTTTTGGCATGAATATTTCATTTAAAAGGCAGGAACTCTTAAAATCGCTGAGTGGGAATGAGCTGGATCGCGTTGTTCTCCAGCTCCTGTGCGACTGCGAAATCCTTTTGGCCTAGAGTAGAACACAGGAGATCTACTAAACTCTCAATAAGGTTTATAGCATCCATCTTACTGCAGATTGTCCAATAGGCATCCGTGCGATAAAGCTAAATATCTTATCGTTCCCAGATTCTTAAAGATATGTATATGGAGGAAGGTAAAGCAGAAACATATAAGAGTTTTCTCTCCTTTAGCTTTTGTAAGACTAAAGTTGAAACAACTAGGCAGCCATACTTTTGCGAAGACCGGAGGGATCGTCATAACTGATATTAGCCGCCTCAAAAAATTTTTTGGTAGGCTCAAAACCCTTTTTCGATTTACGAGGAATTTATGAGTTCTATATAAGTGTTATATGTAGTCATCATAGGGTCATCAATCACACTTGCTGCCGACTGCATCGACCTTTTAACCTCACATAACTTGTTGCAATGGAAAAATGAGTATTACCTTTTTTAAGAGTTAATATGATAGAAGTGGAGTCTCTTAAAATCTTTCTGAAAAATCCGATATTCTGGATGATGGAGATTCGGTTAATTATATGTAGGATATAAAAGCTCCATTTTCATAACCAAGTACAAAAACAGAATCCAAATTATTTTTGTTCCAATTCTCTAGACGAGTAAAGTATATTAATGTTTTTTGGTCTCCATAAATTTGCAAGCATCGTCGGATCTTTCCCATTCAAATTTACTGTAAGTCTAATTGAATCGAACTCCCTACTGGTCTCCCTGTTCTTACATCTGTTAACAATCAAAATCACAGACGGCTCAAAAGCGTCGGAGGGAATTGGCGCAGGTGTTGCAGGACCACACACCAAACTCTTCGTAACTATGGGCACTTTTCCGAGCATATTCCAAGCAGAGTTCTTTGCTATAAGTCTACTGCAATGAACGTATAGTTATACTCAGCGAGAGGCAAGCGGCACTAAAGGCGATCTCTACATAACTGCCCAAATCCCTACTGGAACAGGAGTCTAGAGAACGGCTCAACTATCTATCGCAACGTAACCAAATGCACCTTAACTGGGTGTCCGGTTACAAAGGTATAGCCAGTAATGAACTGATTGATGAGCTCGCCCGTTCCGCTGCATTCATCAACATGGTACGATCCAAATCTTTCATTCCGGTTGGTCCCCATACCATAAGGAACTAGTCCGCAATTATGAAGAGTGGATAGTAAGGGGTGTTGCCAACAACTCCAATCAAGAAGGGACAGAATCAGGCTACTTGTCGCCTTCTATCCTGGCCATTGTAAGCTCAAGAACCACTTATATAACATGAGCCTAGCTTCTTGTGCGAATTGAAACTCGAGAAACATGCTTATTGACTGCACAGCAGTCTGTAGACACAGGATAAAGGCCCTTAGATCCATGTTTCCAAATAGGGATTACATCGCCTCAATAGCACCTACGGGTATATTGTAATTTATCAATATGGTGGGACTAAGTGAATCGTTGTGACTTTGAAGAGGACATAATAGACCTTAGGTTCTGTTGCAATCCACATTTATTTATCTAATCTACTTCCGTTAAAGAAATTCCCTTTCCATATAACACTTGTTTCTACTGCAGACTTTCATAAATACCTATCTCTACCAACAAAGTTTACAAATCTTCATTGAAATGGTATGATAATAACATCCCTAACCTTTATCAACCCCTCCAACTAAAATTTTAACGCACCACACGTATTCAGCAAATTCCTGCAGTTCTCTCTCACATCCTTTTTCTCTCAAATTGCGCTCTCACCATGCGTCAAGGGTGATTGTTAGAATTGCTTTTACAGTTTGTCCGAACATTTGGTCGAAAATGCTGTTATTAACGGAAAAACGTTGTTTACTGCTATGGCAGTAGCATAAATTATTAATATAAAAAAATCAGAATAAAATTAAAACAAAAAAAAAATTGAAAAATTTTAAATTTTGTAAGTTTTTAAAATTATTTTAAATATCGAAAATTATTTTTTAAATTTCTATTTTCTATTGAGGTTTTTGTATTTTAAATGTAAAATATTTCAAAAATTATTTTATAAAACAAAATTTCAAATATCGAAAACAAACAAAATATTAAATTTTCAAGTTTTTGTAATTTATTTTAAATATTGAAAATTTGTCCAAAAAATTCAAATTATTTCAAAAATTCATTTATATTGGTTGTATGTGTTAATCGCTTTTAAAATTTTTCTTTGCATTTAACATAACCAAATTTTAGCATAACTCTTTTCAGCCCCTGTTAACCATCACGGTCAACTGTTTACACATTTATGTTTGTGTGTCTGTATATACATACAGATGCAATTTGCCCTCTTTGAATCTCATCTTTCCATTCAATCACTTTGCCAACTGGCTCTTTGGCTTTTGGTCTTTTGCTCCCAATTTGATGACGTTTGTGCGTTTTACTGTTATGACTCTTGCAGCCAATGTTGTGTTGCACCTACACTTACACACATACATATTCATGGTGTACACATACACTCCGCTGTCGTTGTTATTGTAGTTTTTGCCCAATGTCACAAAGAAATCCTTTTGTGCTTTTTTCGCATGAACTTTCTCAGCTCCCCGCTACTCCACCGCTCGCTGTCTTGTTGGTTTGTTATGATTTTTATTGCGTGAATTCGCAGAAATCAACTTAAATATTTGTATGTGTGAATGTATATAAATATACTATAAGTATGTGTCTGCAGGTGTTCACTTTTTGTTGTTGGCAACTGTTATGTGTTCATTGTTGCTGTTGCTCCGGAAGCGTTGCGTAGTTACACCTACCCGTTTACATTTATGTATTTGTATACATTTTTTGTATTTATTCGTATACCATATATATACATACATATGTAGCTCGTCAAGGTCACTGTGGTTGCTGCATGCGTAAAAACGGTAAACGCGACCAACGAAATAGTAGCAAAAGCAATTTAAGTTAAAGGGTTACCTATTAGGTCGTGGAAAGATTGAAATGATAGAAAAGAAGAGTGTGGTGAGTAAACCGTGAGGTGAGTTTATAAGATCTATTGATTGGTGGTAGAAAAGAGGCGTGTCGTGAGTAAGCTGTGAGGTCAGTTTGGAAGCTTTATAGGTTGGTCTTGTTGTAATGCCGGTCCTGGCATATTTTTCTGATACTTCTTGATCAATTGTGGCGCCGTCCTGTTGGAACCAAAATATTCGGTTATCATTGAGCGGTAGCGATTCCCATTCACAGTAATGTGGCGGCCTTGATATCGGAATCAGAAGTACGGCCCAATGACACCGCCGGTGCATAAACCGCACCAAACCGTAATTTTTTCTGGATGCAATAGTGACTCATGGAGTACGTGTGGATTGCTGTCTGACCAATAATGCATATTTTGTTTATTGACGAATCCCTTCGGTCAGAAATGAGCCTCATCGCTGAAGATGATTTTTCGATGAAAATCCGCATCATATTCAAGTTGTTGCTCAGCCCAATTCATGAACATTCGATGATTCTGGTAGTCATGCGACTTCAGTTCTTGCGTCAATTTGATCTGGTAAGGATGCCGGCCAAGTTCTTTTCGCAAAATTCGCCACAACGACGACGCAGAGATGCCCAACTCTTGAGAACGACTTGTGTTAGACTGATATGGAACTTTCTCAATTGATGCGCTAGCGGCAGCTATATTCTCCACACTACCGATACTTCTTTCTCTCACTGGCCTGGGAACATTTTGGTGCTATGCCTGTGGATTCAATTCTTTCCACTAGACGCTCAGTTGTTGATCTGACGATTACGACGACCATAAATTGGACGTAGCGCTCTTAAATTTGAGGGCACTGACTCCGAACTTCGGTAGTAAATTTTAAAATTTCAACTTGTTGTGGGATCGTATATATTTCCATGATGAAATGGCAAACCTTACTGAAGAGAAATGCAAAGGGAGCGGGAAAAATATGACGTCGTTTGCTGCCCCTATCGGTCTACTTTTTGTAGCGTCTTTATGAAAAAGCACTGTACAAATGTTTTCACTAGCACTTTCACCACATATTTGTTAACCAAAAGCAATTTTACAGTACATGTCACCCTGTACGAGTGTATGMAGATGTATTGCAATGACATTTATTCATATATTCGTGTGTATGAGTGTAACATTTTCTTGCGGTTATTGTTGAACCAGCATTTACCACTAATTTAATTGTTGTTTTGTTGGTTTTTCTTCGTTTGCTTTTGCTTGTTTTATTCTCACTTTACGTAAATGCAAAATGCAAATACTGTATTAACACCTTTTGCCAGAAGCGCACTTCGCGACGTTACACGACATTGCATTAGAACTTCGCGTAAGCAAATAGCAAAATCTAAACACGTGTGTATGTGTGAGTGACTGTATTTGTGTGGTGACTGGAACCTCGGTTCGTTCTGCAAACAGCAACGTGGGAAAATCACAGGTGTTGCAGCTCTGCTGTTGTTAGTGGATTTTTATGGTATATGGATGGCATAATTGAAGCGAAGGAGGAATAAGATTTTTAGAAAAATTAAAGAGATTTTCTTATTATATTATAAAAATAGCCACATTTATCTAAATATATTATTATTCTTTCTCTAAAGCTTAACATAAACATTTGCAACAGACTGACTTTTCCTGCTGTATGCGAGGATATTTCGGTTACTCATACGCCCGGCTCAACCAAGAATGTTAAAATAGGAAAACATTTTAACTTCACCTGCACCGTGATTAACTTAAAATGGTGTAAAATAATTTTATCTTTACTTTCATCGGTCAGCTTAGAAGGCAACTACACGCTACGGTGGTCCGAGCTGAATAATCGAATATATTATTACGCTGTCTTGAAGAATAATCTATGCCAAATTTTTTGAAGATATCTTGCCAAATAAAATGTTTAAGGATGAGAAATGTTACTGACCTTTGAGTGGTCCGGACACCCGTAAGGTGTTCCTACATGCTCACTTTCCCAGCAATCCTCCTCTTGGGGTCGTACCCCTCAAAGCGCCCGTGGCGGACTGCGTATCCTCTTCGAACCTTTCGATTGAACGTTATCGAACGTGGGCAATCAACTCATTGAAGTCCTCTGTGCCGGATAGCATCATACTAGCGCAACAGCAGCGAAGGGTCGAATGCAATTGATTGGAACTCATGTAGGCGAACTGCATTAGATTGGTACATAAGTATTCCTGGGGCTTGAAGACTGGTTAGGTAGCATTCCAAGCAATCGACATTCAAGAGCACAGCATGCCTATTGCAAAGGTAGGTCTGTGGACACTGCCTTGTACACACTTGTTTCCCGGCTCGAAATGTGTTTGAGGAAAAAAAAATTTGCAGTAGGGACGTTACTTCATATCGAGGGAGCATTTAACAATGTATAGCCGAAAGCAGGTCATTACAGCTGTGAATAGGTTTGGGATAGAATCGAGCCTTATGCATTTTTTATTCAGACGCCACGGAATGTAAGAAGGGGCATCCCTTAAGGGGAGAGTCTCTCTTCACTTATTTCGATACCGATTATGAGCTTACTCAGGGCTTGAGCTTTCCATAAACTTCAATTTTAGGCTTCCCGACCACTGCAGAGCCTTCAAGGGGGAGTAATAGCCTAATTTTCGCCGACTCTGTGCTCAGGAATAGCGAAGAAGTTTATAGACTTCGTATCAAGTTACTGTAGGATGAGACTGGTTTTGATGCTTAGCTACAGCGATATTGCAGGTTACTGTTGGACTGATGAGCTTGTTAGGGTTCAACATTTTCTCCTCGATTGTCCTACTTTCGTCATATTAAGGCAAAAAAACTTGGATCACATACATTTAGACATCCAGGTGAAATAGTAAAAATAGATGGGAGCAGGGTGCTTGACCGATATCTAATATCCAATTACTGGAGTTTTTCGTTTGGCTTCGCAAAGAGCTGAATACAACCTGCCATCTAACCAATCCTAATTTGCAAACTTCCAGGCAAGCTCAATATACCCTATTCAAGGTATAAAAACCTGAAATTTTTATTTTGTAGGTACTCGTACAGTCAGTAAATTTTCGTTGAGATTCACTATCAACTCTTTTTAAGTTGAGAGGAACCCGTAACAATCGCTAAATACCGAAAGATTTTATAATGAGGTAATACAGTAAGATTTATTTCAACTGAAACAGATACCAAAGGCAAAGCAGTAAGAAGTGGAGTTGTCCGGCAAGTCGAAGATTTTTAAAATACCATATTTTTCTTCGCTTAAAGTTCATTTGAAAGACTAAAGTCGTTATTAAAGCGATAGAATAGTGAAAAAAAATGGACAGCTGCCCTATAAACTGAATGACATTGATTGTTGTCGAAAACAACGTTACAATCTCCGAAGAAATTGTCCAGATCTCTTGCCAACAGATGCTACTTCGCACTGATTGGGTAATTGAGAAGTAAAGTCGTCTCTCGACGAATAAAGACGAAAAGAGGTGGACTTGGTTTGAAATTTTTACGGGTAATATTTTGCAACTAATCAATCTCTTTTCTCCTTCGGAAGAAAAGTGTGTTACGCATATAAATAAACATAACTTGAATTTGACAATATGGCTCAAGTATATGGGTATTTTTTCGCCTTTAAGACTTACATTTATATTTTTTCATATATAGGCAGAAGGGCAAATACAATACCCGCATGTTTTTTGCCCTCCTAACATAGATAATAAATCTATAAAGAAGGCCAATGTAGTTCAGTCCGAAGCAAATATTTACTCGCTTAATAATATCCAAATAATCGTATATTTTTATTATCATGCCTACCGATACATTTCAATTGTGATATGCTGGAATAAGTTCAAAAGCCTAAGAAAGCGCAATATTTCCGCAACCAGAATTAAAAATATTAAAAATGTATTATTAAGTAATTTTACAAATTAACTTCCACGACGCTTCAATTACGCCTTCAATTTCGGAATTTTCGTTCAAAAATACACAAAACAACTGTTCAAATGAAAATGAAGTCAATATTTGGTTAAAAAATGCGCACGCTACGCTCTGCCTCCGCAGAAGCGCAGAAAGCTTGTAGTGAAGCTTTAGGAGAAGATTCTAACAGTCGCTTAAACCGGAGGTAACGGTTCTCTGTATTAACTCTATTTGTGCCGTCATGCGAAAGCTGACAGAAAGGTCAACGGTGCACGGTGCTTTCCGCTATACGGCAAAACCCTAGCACAGACCTAAAATGTGTCAGTTTAAGCCAAAAAGGCGTGGTGGCACTGTCGATCAGCGCAAAAGCGGAAGTTTCGAAAACCGGAGTTTGAAAATTATACTTTTCGAAATATACACTTGTACATATATAAGTTTAGGAGCATATATACACAGTGAAATGGCTATGAAGTATGTGAACTTCTGCCGTTGGTTCGCCGTTTTGGTGTTGTTGCAGACCATTATGCCACCTGGAGCAGAGAGCAAGCCTATGCCTGGGAAGAAAGCAAATATGGGTAGGTTAAAGTAGCAAATGTCGATTATTTCTAAAAGTAGGGGATATTTAACTACATTGTATTACGGTTAACGGTTGACACGCAGCTGAAATTCACCTGCTACTCAAAGTGAGGTTAAGTCGTATTAAAAAGTTTTTCTCCCTTGCACATTTTAGCAAACATTTTGAAATTTTCATCAACTGTTATAAAGGAAAATAGTTGCCTCCCTCTAGAGTTGCCACAGTTTTTTTTGTTTTACTTTTATTAATTTTTTTATTTTTTTGTTAAATTTTTTCTCAATTCCTTTAGCGCTCAGCGCCTTGGCTGGCATGACCGCGGGCCATTTGATAGGACGTGCCGTCGCCGCTCGTCATGAGAAAAAGGAAAAACTAGATATGAGCGAACACTTGCCACCAAATTGCAGAAGAGAGGTTAGAACTGAACGGGATAAGGATGACTGGAACAAGTTCATTGAAACCAAATACATTGTATGCGATCCGCTTCCAAATCAACAACCGCAACAACCACAACAACAGCAAATTGTAAGTACCCAAACAGGATCGTCTCAACAACAACAAGCGTTGTACCCTAATTTATATGTGCCGCAGCAGCAATCGCAACAGCATCAGTATATGCAACATCAACAACACCAGCAGCAGCAACCACAACCGCAACAACAACACCAACAACAGTATTTCCAACAGCCGCAACAACAGCAGCAACCACCACAACAACAACCTCAACTACACTATCCGCAGCAGCAGCAGCAGCAACCTCAACTCCAGCAACCGGAGCAATCCCAACATCCTCAGTGGCATTCCTCTCCAACTGCTTTCCAAGGACAATCGCAGCAATCAGCTGAACAAGTTCAGCCTCAACCACCATTCTATATGCCTATATATCCAAAACTGCCTGTGGCTGGGTTCCCGCAACCGGCCAGCCAAGCACAATTTCCCCTAAATTACCCAAGTGCACAGCCACAAAATAGCCAGACCATCGCCCAGCAACAACATCCGGTTCCATGTGCGAGTCATTCAGGTCAACAGCAGCCTGAGAAGACAGTACCTCAAGCCGTAGAAGTCCCAGCCGCACCATCGGCTTCACCGGCAACAGTTCCCCAGACAACAGCACGGTCAAAACCACTTCTCGCGTTTATTAAAAAGGTGCAGGAAAGTGTGGAGAAGCGAAAAGCTGAGCAAGCAGCACAACAGACATCAGCTAATACGATTAAAGACTCCTACTTGCGAATACAACAATCGAATCCGAATCCACCAACAGAGGAGCAATATAAGACACCAGAAAATAATTCCGAACAAGTTGCTAATGCTGCTGTGGCACAAGCTGAAGTAAATCCTTAATTTTTAGACATCCTTCATGCAAACATTATTTCCATCTCTTATTGTAGCAAATTGTTCAGCCGTCGGCGGTAGTACCCGCTCAACCGGCCGCGTCAGCTGCCCAACCATCTGTTATTCCGCAGCCAAGTCAGGAGCAGCCAGCAGGCTACCAACAACCCCCCGTGTATGGTCAGCCAATCGGATTTGTCCAACCACCTCAGCAAGCCGGTCAACCGTCGGCACAAGCTCCCCAAACAGTCCAATCCCCACAACCGGTTCCACCAGTTCAAACAGTACAAATACCTCAAGGTGTCCAAACAGGTCCACAACCAATGCAACCGGTTCAAGTGGTTCAACAGGCTCAACCTGCCCAACCGGCTCAAGGCCCTTCACAAGTATTTGTTATGTCGAAGAAAACAGGTTACTTCAGAAAGAACTCTGCCGACCAGTTACTGCACTCCAATATCGTCCTGTTGATGATGATGGCTTTCCTTCTCATTTGGTTCCAGTAGATCCTACTTTTCTTTTGTGTCACTTTAGCTTTTAATGTGCTTAAAAGAGACGTTCGAAATATTTACTTTAAGCTCGTTTAGTACATAAAAATTTCCATTAATAAAAGAGACGTTTGAATTGCATAATAAATAATATACGATTTCAGCGTCGAACCAAAAAGTTTGTGAGTAGTACTTTTTTATTCCTTTTGTAGCCAAAGCTTAGACTTGGCAGTCCTGTCTAAACAACGGTCCAGAAATGTATTGAATTTGTATGCAATTATAAGAAGACGGTCCGATAAGCCTCACCTCCTGATGAAGCTACTAGCGCAAGAGCAATTTAAATATTAAACGTCAAACATAAAAAAAACGTGACATAAGTTCACGATCTCGTGGTTGCAGACCACCGGCTGAAGGCATCTCAAAACCTAAATAAAATATTGGGCATGCGAGACCTGTCAACGCTACGGGTCACGCGTTCGCTTATGGATTACAAGCGCAACCGTGAGGTCATCTGACAACGGTGTTTGTCGCTCTTTATGATAAATACAAGGTTTGTCCGCAAAGTGACTGGATTCGGTAGAGGACGTTCCTAACTCATGAACGAGCGGCTGCTCAATTGACTCCAAGCACCTGGAGAGTCAGAACAAACATTTTCGGGCGACGTGCTTTCGCTGAGTGGTGCAAGGTTCATTAGAGCAGAGGTACGAGATTAAAATCAGAGTGAAACTCGGTAAATCTGCGACAGAGACGTTTATTATGATCAAGTAGGCTTACCCAAATATAGCTTTAGCAAGAAGTGGTGTGTGTTCGGTGGCACCATATTTGATGAATAAGCAAATCCAAAATGAAAACGATGCTCATTGTCTTTTTTAACATCAAGGGCATCGTCCATCATGAATTTGTTCCACCTGGTCAAACCATCAACGCCAAGTTTTACGTGGAAATCCTCAAGAGACTTAAACGAAGGGTCAATCAGGTCCGACAAGACATCACAGCCAACTGGAAGTTACACCACTACAACGCCCCGGCTCACACCGTCTTTTTTGCGCACAGCTGCTTAACCAAGGTCGGCAACCCAACGCTTCCGCAGCCGCCATTCAGCAAGGCCGATGAAAAGTTAGCATTTTGAGACGACAGAGAGTATCCAAAAGGCATGCATCCGACTCTCAAGGCAATTCCGGAGAATGCCTTCCGTGACGCCTTCAATGCTTGGAAATCATGCTGGCAGCGCTGCATCGAAGCAGAAGGAGCCTATTTTGAAATTTTTTAAAGAATTATAATAATTGGTTCAATAAATGTTTTTAAATCCAGTCAGTCCTATTACTTTTCGAACAAACTCTATATGTAGAAGTTTCATCGTGGCTTCGTGACTACGGACGAAACCTAGATCTATATGTTCTAAAAAAGGGATTTTACGCGGCGAAGCTGCTCTAAAGAAACGAAGACTTTATCGGCCGCAAAGGTGTGGGTCATTGTTATCTGAGATTTTTACTGTGTAGCTCACATCACACAGCTTAAAATATAGCAACATTGTCACAGACCTATCTTGTAGACTTTGGTAACTCCATAAACGTATATTTCAAACAGACTTAGGAATGGCAGATCGCTGGGTCTAGAGTATCGAGCTCAAAGGATAGTAGGCTGAGAAATAAGTCGCATTTTTTTTTTTATATTTACTTGTATGCTAAATATTTATCGACCACCACCTCGTATAGTTAGCAAAATTAAATTTTCCAAAATACGATTCTAAAAAATCTAGAAAATTGAGATTCACGTACTAATCTCAACTCCATTCAAATCTCATACAAAATAAACGCATACGTGCACTAATCTAGGCCACCAATTTTGGCATGCAAAAGTCTACCGAATGCCAAAAAACCCAAACAATTCACCAATAGCTACGAAACCGACGAAAAAGGAAAAAGAGAACAACAAAAACGTAAGCGATTAGTTTTCGTCCAGATTCAATGAATTGATAGAATTCGTTTTGCCGATTGGAAACGAATAACCTAGTTTCAAATCGATGCCGGTGGAAAGTGCGAGTATTTGCAACTGCAACAACAACAATAGCAAGACAGCCACAGCCAGCGCCAGCGCCAGCGTAGATTACCTCCTTCTGCTCTCGTCCTTTCTGCAGTTGCAAGGAAGCACGAAAATGTGGCACGTTTAAATCTGACCATTTTTGCAACAAATTAAATTTTTCGTACCATTTTCTACACTGTAAATGGAGAAATAGAACGGTGAGTTGCGTTAATGTGGGCATCAAGCTCTCACGGAGAGTAAAGTTTCAATCAAAAATTTCATATGTCCCATTAAATATTCCAGGCAATGCCTGCATATACGTTAAAAGGGCAAATTTTGTACAAAGGTACCTAGAAGAGAATGTCACCTAATCAAAATTTAGAAAAATTTTTGAAATAACGGCGGTCCACTTTCAAGTAAGAAGAATATCTCTCAACCACTTCTTAAACTTCCACATGCCGAAATATGCGTAAAACCTTATAAAAAAGGACTTGAGGTGGAAAGAAACTCACTTCTATCCCACTATTAAAGGTATCCAAATTTCAGGTACGTCTTTTAATTTTATAGTCAACATTTCTGCTAACGAACGCTTCAGTATTTCAAAAAAAGACCTTATAGCAAGTTTTGACAAAATAAAACCTTTTTTAGACAGATATAAAGCACCAATATCCAGCCCCTATGGCTTTGGTAACTACGACAGGGAGCCTTCTGATATCTCCAATCGAGTGCCAGCATATTGAGGTGCGCATGGTCCCCGTTAAGGGGCATAATGAACTCTTCTTCAAGCAGTTTCTGTTGGACTGGTTTCGTACATAGCATCCCTGCAGTCACCTGCTTGGTGCGGAACCGTTTCCTAGGGGTATTAGGGGTATTAAGAGATCTTTCCTCAACTACGCCTGCAACATAAAACAATACGCCAACCCGACTTCGGACGCAACTAACTTCACACATGCACTGACTGCCATTCACAGTCTTGTACTTGGAGTCAAACCACCACCCATTGCAGTCGACAAGCTCGAGCTGCCGCGAATTACAAGAGTGACTCTTGAGCAGCTTCGTTCTGAATACTGTAGCAAGTTAAAATCCAAACATATATCCAAGGTTGTTCTGAGTTCTGGCATGACACTAACCACCTCTTTGCATGCCCTGCTAATCTTACACATCTGACACCCGTCTTCATTTGGTTCGATCCCGTCGAAACAACACGTTTCCTGGGCCTACCGATTATCAAGTAGCTCAATGAGTTAATTTGGATGGCCTGGTTTCAGCGTCTGCCGCTGTGATGACAGTGTTGACCGCTTAAAAGTTGTTGAATTGTTCGAACACCTCTTGGATGCAGATATTCTTTAATTTTTGTGCATATAAATAGGTATGGACACATTAAATATTGAATTTTTTATACTTTTTATGCCCTCGTCTTCAGCTTACCCTCATACAGTTAATACACGGTTACGGTTAGTACACGTTTTCGGCCGAATTTAGCTCGTTTTTACATACTTTTAGGCAGTACGAACTTAAGGCACGTACGCCGATCTTTAATAATTATTATTGTTGTTGGTAATTTTGCTACAGCTGCAAGATTGTCCAGCATTGATAGCGAGTAATTGCCTATAAAGTGGAAATTATGGGTTTTCGTACATATATAATCATATAGATACACACACCTATATACAATACGTACAAATGACTTCATAGATACCACAGAAGTTTCGGAGAACTTATACTTCACACTCATAAATACCTCCTTCTTTTCCCCGCACAACCATTTACTCTACTTTCAGTTTGCGTTAAAGTCACATGCCACTCTTCGCATTCATATTTAATAGTAAATGTTAAAGTATTTAAATTTGCCACATACTTTCTGATAGCCCGTCAAAACCACACACACATGCATATATTTTTACATACACTTGCGCTCACATAGGGGAAACAGATTTGTCAGCGCGGCAAGAGTTCATTACCCTTTTTTTCGTCCAAACGCGTGCGAACGTCCTTGGAAAATGTCTTGTTACTTTGGCGGCTTAACATTATAGAATTACCCCTAAAAAGAGTCGATATGTATACAGCGCTAGTTTTTGTAACTCTGGAAGGTCTACTTGGAATACTTATATGTTAATGAAACGAAATAACCCAGTCAAACAAACAAAAACTTACTGAATCTATTCTTCAATATTTATTTTGTCGGTGCATTATCATTGTGTAAAACCCACAAGTGTGTCCTCCACATTTTCGATCTTTTTCGATGGTTGTACTCACGCAAGCGCCTCGAAATACCACCGCACCTTATTAACCGTCTGTCCCTCCGGAACGAATTCATGATACGCATAATGAGCCTTACCTTGATATAATTGAGCGGTTTCGGTTTTTTTTTTTTTTTCAGCTCCTTTTATTCCTTCCATTCCGATGATCGGCAATTATAATGGTCTCCATGAATGTGGGATCGAAATTCACATCGTCAAGCATGTCCAAAGAGACCTGTTTATGATACGTTTTTTGAAACTTTATCAGGACGAGTCGAGCAAGAACGTCTTTGCTCACAAAGTACCGACCAAAATCCTTCGAACGGACTCGCGAGAGCTCGAAGGTCGTCCAGAACGAGGAATGTCTTCAATGATCTATCGACCACCTTTGAAGCCTTTGTACGATTCGCCTTGTGTTTTTGATAAAATGCAATCACCGAAAGTAAAGATTCCGCAAACAAAATTTGTTTAGAAATACAAAATTTCCAAAAAATTCTTTGTTCCATATTTTTATTGTTAAAATCACAAAGCACATCTGAGGTGTACTGACTTTAACAGGTGCTGACAGATCGCGCCCATACTTGGCATAGTAATTAAGAACCTTAGATTACCTTACCAACAGGTGTAACTTTGGACAGAGTAGGCAATTGAGAAGTAAAGTCCTCTCTCGATGAGCAAAAAAAGCAAAATAAGTCACTCATTATTCCAGTTCTGCTATATGGTGCAGAGGCATGGACGGCATCAGCTGATGACTCGACGTTGCGGGTTTTCGAGAGAAAGCTTCTGCGAAAGACTTATGGTGCTTTGCGCTTTGCGTGTTGGCCAAGGCCAAGGTTGTATGAGATATCCGACGACATTGACAGAGTTCAGCAAATTAAAAGA